TAACTTAGTAAATTAATATAAAACTTTTAATAAATAGTATATATTTTAAAACTTTATATATCTTTTTTTTATACTTTATTAAAATAAGTATTTATATAACTAATACTTAGGCTAATATATATATATATATATTATTATATTATCCTTTTTTTTAAAAAAAAATAAATAAATAAAGATACCAAACAATTTTCTTTTTTCACCGTCGAATTTTTTCTATTACTGATATTTTGCAGGTTGTTTGGGGCTCGGGAGGAAAAAAAAGGGACGATATTTCAAAAGGTTGTAGTCTTGAACAATTCATTTGTTTTTGTTTTTGTTTTGCCCTGGCAACATTTTTGCCTTGTGGGGGGGCGATGAGAGGGGAAGAAGAGGTTCGAAAACGAGAAAAAAAGAAAGAAAGAATATTATACTGTTACTAACTTTGAAAGAAAAGGTTGGGGGAGAAAGGGGGTTAAAAGAGGGTGGCAAGTTTGTTTTTACATTCTACTCTATCAGTGCTAGTAGAAGAAGAGACAAAGACGGGTTTGACATGGGCTCATCGCACTCGACACCACCGCCTCTGGTTCAGGTCAGCGCTCCAAGAGGCAAGGTGCTTGTTCCTCCGGGTATGTAGATATCCTCTCGCCCATTCCTCTTTTTTTTTCTGTTTCTTCCGCGCGTCCCTCTCACTGCACTTACGCACCCTACTCCTCATGTCCACTTCGCCCCACTTTCCTCCATTGATATTCTGTAACTAAACTTTGTATTCCCCGATTGGCAGGGACAGCATTTACAGTTCATCCACCCCTATCTTACTCTCGATCACAGCTGGGTTCCTATACACGTAGTGCTGCTGGCCCCGCATATGCGCAGTACGCTAGAAGACGAGCACGGAGTAGTAGAAGGTGCCATAACACGCTGGGATATGGATATGGCATGGGAGGAACCGACATTGATATAAGAGAGGAGACGAGTGAAGATGGTCAGAACACACCGGGTGATGTGACGGTAGATGCCGCGGCCAGAAGAGGCAAGGAAGGATCAAAAGGATGTCTTACCAAAGGCATGGGCATCATGGGACCAAGGGGTGTGTCTGGACGGCTTGATACCCTAGACTCGAGACCCAGGTCGGCACCCGAGATGCCTGGTGGAGAGGGATACGCAGGTATGCCGATAGGGGTGCCAGCGAGTAGTATCGGAAGCAGCCAGCAGCCATCTGGCCTCCCTCCAGAGTACATGTCCAATCCTGATTTGGTTGGGTACGGCGAAGACGGGGTGATGCCCAGTACAGGCTTAGTCAGTCCTCATCCAACTTACCCCCCTGGCCCACTACCTAGTAGCAGTCCGCCATCGAGTAACGGTAGACTTCCGCCGCAGCCGGTCCCACGAGGGCGGCCGAACCACTACGAGCATGTGCCAATGGGCGCGTATACAGATACGGAAAAGGCAAGAAAACCGCCGAGCTCACATGTCGATCCGCAGCAAACCTCGACACGTCTGAACCGTGGACAGTCTCCAGACAAGAAGGTCGGACCGCCAGGCCAAGAGTGGCTGAACGGCGATGCCTTTCTCGACGCCTGTACCTGTACCATAGATTGCAAGTGTCGAAAAGGCCAGCGAGTCTTGTACCGTGCACGCGAGGGCCGTCAAAAGAAGGGCAGTGACTTTGACATTGAAGACGGCGAGTACGTAAGTGGGGAGATACGGTACATACTAAAAGACGACCTAGGGCGGAACTGCGATGACCACACTGGATGCCGGAAGAGCGAAAGCGGCAGTGAGAGGCAAGACAGGACGAGTAGGAAGGGGGAGAACAAGAACAGGAAAATGAACAACAATGGGGGCAGGGAGGAGAGGAAGAGACTGCAGCAGCAGTTTCAAGGTTTCAAGGACGACCTACTAGAAGCGCTAGACGAGCGTTTGGATGATATGAGGAAAGAAGGTCGTCAGAGACAACGAGGGCACAGCCCCGCACGGCCGCCTTGGCTCGGGGCATCCGGATCTGGACAAGGCCTATACTACATGGCAAACGGGCCTCAGGTTGACGCACGCACGGCTAGACAAATGGGCATACCGAACTATAATCTGTACGGCGTGGCTCCATCAGGAATCGGACCAATGCCACATGGTATGGCTAGTGGCTTGGCCGCTGCAGGTATGCGCAGAAGACATGGGGATGACATTTCCGACATGGGATTTGATAGTACTGCCATCGGTATGATGAATAATGGGTACATGCAGCCCCACATGACCATGCTGAAGAAGAAGAAGACGAGCACGAGCAGGACGAGGAAAGCCATGCGGCCCAACTCCACATCACACCATGGGGCTAAAGCGGGAGAGCGACAAGACAAGGGTGCTGTGGAAGGCAATCGAAGGACGGCCGTTGATTTGCAAGGGCCGGGTGGCCGCGGAGGGATGCTGGGACGTCACAGTAATGATAATAGTAGTAGCAGTAGTAGTAGCGGCAGTAGTTGTGATGGTCAGCAAAGAGGGGCGCACAGAGACGATGAATGTGATGATTTTGACGTAGCAGGGCAGGATGAATCTTGGATGCGGCCAAACTCACAACAGCGGGGCGGGCTCGAATGGAGTGGTAAGCGTCGTGGTGCTGCAAAGCCTGATGTGTACTGATAACTTGCATAGTAAAAGGACGTGGCGGTGGTAGATTGGATGGCAGCGTGGTATACGGAAGGACCGACATCAGCAACAGCAGCAGCAGCAGTCGAAAAGGAGCAAGACAGGCTCGAGCCGATACGGATGACGACGGCGAGGACGACAACTACGACGACGGATATTGAAAAACATGGTAGGCCTGGGGCGAAGATGAGCAGGGGGAGCGGGAGGGCGAAGCTTCAGGAACGTGAACGGTAGGTGGTGTGGTGTTGGGGATCAAGGAGAAGGATTGGCGTGCATCCAGGCAGACGAATGGGAGGCCTCGGACCCTGGCCTCGTTCTTTCCAAGATGCGTCATGATTCGCCTGCAAATCATCACACCAGCATGCGCCAAGTGTGCCGCGTTTGGGGCATCGAGAGATTGGGAGATCGAGACGCTTTAGATTGGCGTAAGCGGAGTGAGAGTCAGAGTGAGAGTGAGAGGGTGCTGATGGAGACGTAAGCGGTACACCTGCTGCGTCGAGTGTGAGATGCAGGCTGCAGTACGTACATGTAGGCTACATGGATTATGTATGTACTCTACTCAACTCCACTATAGGGCAATGCTGCCGCATGTCCAGGCAAGTCAGGTAAACAGTAGTAGTCATCGTGGTCTAGCATCGGGTTAGCCCGTGTTGCTGCAGGCAACATGCCGGCCAAGGAGGGGTGGGCTGTGTGGTTGGTGGTCCTTGTCTTTGCGACGTTCCCAACAACAACAACCGCCCTGTCATGCCGTGGTTCAAGATAGATTGACGCGCCGAATCTCCTGCAATGTGCGTCGGGCAGCCACAAGTCCTGCACTCGCAATGCCACATGACCCGTCTTGTGGTGCAACCATTGCAGCATTCCGTGGCCGAGACAGCTCCATCTCGCCTGTCACAAGCAACCACAAGTGCTCACACCCACACACACACATACATACATACAAACTTATCAAGCAAACATTATCATTCGCTAATTGCATCTGACAACAACCTGGCCGGCCAGGGCCAAACCCAAGCCAGCAACTTTTTCACAGCCGGCGGAAAGAAAAAAAATACCGCAGGGCATCAACCAGCAATACGAGTCCAATTTCACTGGTTACTCATTATCCGGGACGCGTCAAACAAGAAAAATTTCCCACACGCCGTTCCAGTCCAAGTAGAGTTGGGATGATTCCGGCTCCCGCATAGATCCCTATCTCGGTAAATACCAACCAACTCCGCGCTAAATATGCATCCAAGATAAAACAGCAATAACAGAGAGGAGAGACAGAGAGAGTAAAAAGAAATAGCGCATGGCAGCCCCGAGCCTGTAGCAGACTCTGTTATGCCACGTTGTGTGCCGGACGCGCTGAGTGATCCCATGTGAAAGCCGCGCCAAGCACGTGTGCCTCGCTAGCTTCTTTTTACGGAGCACACCACCCGAGCCCAGTGTCGGCAATACCCACAGCCTTTGCAAGGCGCTTGCCCCTCTCACTAAGACTCAATATCGCGCACTTCTTTTCCGCCAACCAGTTCTCAAAGGCATTGATGTCGTCCGCGTGCATCTGAGGCTTGGCCTCGGACCATGCAGAGTCCACTTTGTAAGTCTTGTGCCGGAGACGGGGAAGAGCCTCGGTGCGCAGATGTGATAGCTCTGCTGCATAGTAGGCATCATGCGACTTGAGCGGCGTGGAGAAGGATCGCTCACGCGAACGAGAGCGCTCAGAGGCACCGAGCGAGATGGGTGAGCCAGGACACAGGAGATGAGAGGCTGGGAGTGACGATTCCACAGGCGACGCGCTTCCCGACTGAGAGGTGGATGAGGCACTGGTGAGGGGCGTAGACGAGTCGGACTGAAAGACGCTGCTGGCATTGCTTATTGTGCGGAACCTTGGCGACGGAAGCTGATCGAGCTGAGCCAGCGAGTCGTCAGCGGCAGGTTTGCCGTCGACATCACTGTCGTCGGAGCTCTCCAAATGCTTATCGAGTCGCTCGAAACCTGTGGGGAATTAATATCCGACCGAGGTAGGGATGCACGTGAGGGAGAAAGACAACACGTGATTGAACAATGGGGCCGTGAAAAACATACCAGTCAGAACAGCAGCGCCAGCGTGTTGAAGAGCGGCCAGGCTGGATTGGACTTGCTCGGGAAGGCGATCCCAGAGTTGTTGCGGGCAATACCAATGGCGCAGGTGGGCCGGGTTGTAGCTGAAGGCATCTCCATCCTTGGGAGCAGCGACACGGGCGGCATTGAGGTACGACGACGACCTCGACAGCGACGCTCCGCCCATGGGCCGGCAGCTATCGCGACGAGGACGACCGGGGTTGTTGTAGACGGGCTTTGGAGATTGTGGAGTAGCCATGGCGGGCGGTATGGTACGATTGAGCAGGTCTGTGGCGTGCGCACGACGAAGAGTGGAGTGGGCCAGCGAACTGACTCTGTGGCGTGTGGTACTTGACCGGTGCTCTCGAGAAGGGGCCGCGAGGCGTGCACGGGTATTTGTAGGCAGTGAGGGAACTTTCTAGACAAAGTGTATAGAATGGCACAAGGTGCGTGAGGTGGAAAGAGGTGAGGAGGGGGGAGGGTGAAAGGATCGTGCGAGGGCTGGTGATCGAAGTCAGCAGGAAGAAGTGTGGAGTTTTAGGCAGGGGGGTGCGGGTAGTGTGCGGGCGGCGTTTGGGTGTGCGGATGGGAATCAAAGGGTGGTGCTAGGCGGTTTCCCATATACCCGACGAGCAGCTACTACGTCAAATGCTAACGCAGGCTCAATGGGGCAGCGAGCGCCGTGTGCGGCAAATGAGGCGCGTTTGGTGTGGTTGGGAGCGCGCAGACCCATTGATTTGAGCCAAAGCCGGCGCTCCCAGGAAGATGCCAGCATGCAGGGAAAACGTTGCGGTGGCCGTGTGAAGGGCAGCTAAGGTACGCCTAGGGTGGACGAGGGTGGGCGGTTGGTACATTTGCATTGCTGCCCTGCCCTGCCCTGCCCTGCCCTGCCTGCTGCATGCCTGCTGCATAGCATTTGCGGCCACGCTATCAGCATGCAAGACGGTCCAAAAAAGACCGCGTTGGCAGTGCGCCACACCAGCCAGCGCCCAGACGCCCGTCTGGGGCTAGAGCAGGCCCCCCGAAAACGGGTCGTGGATTTGCGTGCCCATGTGTGGGTGCCAGTCTGAGTGTGTGCGCGCTGATGTGGACTGAGGTGGGCAAGGGCAAAAAAAAAAAACAAAGCAGCCACTTACGCGAAACGTCTGTCATTGCCGCCGCATCCTGGTCTCGGAATGAACCGGAACTGCCAGCTGAAGGGCGAGGACAAGGCGCAGTGCGTCGGCATACCGAGAGCAGCCCCCGCCAGAGCTGACACGGTTTGAGATTGCTCCGCCTACATACACGGTGCGTGTGGCTGGGCTGTGCTGTGTGCTGTGTGTGTGCGTGTGTGCGTGTGTGTGCGTGTGTGTGCTGGATCCCTCAGTGCCCGACGGCGTCAAAAGCAGCCGTGTTTCAAAAAGTCTGGCCGTGGCGTGTTTGAGACGCAGACGCCCGTCTGCACCCAACTGCTCGACTCGACGTCTATTAGCGTGCAACATGCTTCCACCGACGTGGTGATCGTCAGTACGACGGGCAAAAAGACGCAAAAGCAAGCTTCCTCGCCCTTTGTCCTCGCCGCTCGCCCTGCTCTTGCCATCGACAGCACCATTCGCGAATGCGAACATCATCTTCGCCCATCCCGCTGCTGCTTGTGGCGCCGCGGAACCATGGCTCGCTCGCCAGCACGTCTGTGTGGTCTGTCTGTCGTCAGCACGCGAACCAAGTGGTGCAGAACCTGTTTGTCGCTTCAGGAGCAACAAGCCTGTGCCGGACGTCATGGTGCAAGCGGCCAGACGACAGACTACTGGCACCCACATCATGTTTCGGTCGCGCCGCAGCTGCTAGACCATGACGACTCTCATTTGCATTGGCCTACCGTGGTAGCATTGCACTTCATCGTTATCATTGTTTGGTGTTGAGCGCTTTTGTGCGACGTTGGGCCACGCTTGACACCCTTTTATCTAGCATAGCCGGCATCCGCCCCAGTAAATCCCTCATCACCCTGCCCGGCGCTTTGCCAGTAGTCCACGTCCAAGTGCACGCAATCTCGACGGCTTGGGCTTGCCGCCTCTCTCCTAGGCCATTGGCACGGCATCTCGACTATTCCAGCCTATATTGCGCCTCTCGTTAGCACCGTCGTCAGCCCGTGTCATAGTCATCCCACCTTTGGATCAAATGCACTCCTGATGCCGTCTCCACCATGTCGCTGACCTGGCCCTTTTCAAGCGCAAACGCTGCCTGCTCAAACTCCTTCTGCATGTCGCCTTTGCCAAAAAAGCCACTGCTCGTCGTTAGCCAGCCATGTCCTGTCCAATCCCACTGCCAACTCACAGGTCGCCTCCTTTGCGGGCGCTGCTGCAGTCCGACTCGGTCGTTGCCAGCTCAGACAGTGATTTTGCGTTTGCATCACTCTGGCCCTGCTCGTATGCCTTGATCTGCTCGTGGTACTTTTTGATCATCTCGCGAGCCTCCTCCACTGAACGCGTGATGTTTGGTTCTCGCCAACTAGCAGGGCGTCTGCTGTCGCGGTGCTTGACAAGCAGATGAGCACATCGAATCTTGCCCTCGGTCGGCGCAGAGGCAGCAGGCGCAACACCCTTGGAGCTGTGGTTGGCTGCCATGTACGCCTTGAGCTTCTCCGGATCGGTGCCGGCGGGCGGTTCCCATCGCGAGTCTTTGGTTTGCGCATGAAAGTAGTATGGCAGGTTCTTCGTGTTCGAGCGGCGCACCTCCCAGCCCTCGGGGAGACCAGTCTCAGCGGACGACTATGACGTGTGAGCAGCTGAAGGGCAGGCGTGCAGACGGACTCGCGCAATGCGTACCATTTTTTGCTGCTTGTGTCTTGATGGGCGCAACCAGAGTTTGATGCAGTATAGACGGAGCGGCGCAGAGTGTGATGGGAGTCTTTGCAGGGGGCAGTCAAAGGAGGCAGCGTGAAGCGACGTCTGGAATTGAAGGCGGTGGCCAGGGCGATCGGCAGTCCCAAGTCGACAATGCGGGGGGGTCTTTGCCAAACAAAGGGCCTGCACGGCAACAGAGGCGGCGCGAGCCAAGTGGGGTGGCCCGCGCTCAGTCATAGTCAGCCCATGCCCATGTCTCGACCCCCAGTGTTCCTTCTCATAACGTGCGATTGTCGACACGGGCGCAACTGTACACGAACTACGACCTCGTACGGCAACTAGTGTACCAAGCACACGACGAACCCCCCTTCCTGTCTACTGTCCAGCGCCCCCCCCGCCGCCAACATGTCGTCCCCAGCAGCACAAACAAGCGGTGTCAAAGGCGGCAAAGAGCCCATTCTCTTCCGCTTTTGCTCGGAATGGTGAGCCTTGCCGCCCTGCCAGATGGTGCAAACTGCTGACCACAGGCAGCTCCAACCTTCTGTTCCCCCGCGAAGACAAGTCCGAGAACAAGTTGCTTTTTGCGTGCCGCACCTGCAACTTTACCGAAGAAGCACCCTCGTCTTGCGTGATGCGCCACGAAATCGCCTCGACAGTCGGAGCCACGGCCGGTGTGACAGCGGAGGTTGCCCAAGATCCCACGGTTGGTCCTTCCCTGTCCGATGTACAAGCAGCCCAAGAAGCCCAAGAAGCCCCGTGTGAAGAGATGCCTTGCTGCACCATGTGTGGCATGCCCATCATGTGTGAAGAGTGCGGCGAGGAACCGGCCCCCGGCTTTGTGCTCGAGGCCGAGGACGAGGACCCGCAGGCGGCGCTCGCTCAGCAAGACACGGGCGGCGACGAGGACATGTATGACGACTACGACGACTTTGACGAGGAAATGTGGCATGACAAGCACACGCCCTGAATGTGCGCGCCTCGTGCGCATCACTACCAGTACAGTTGCTTGCTTGCTCTTGAGCGTGCTCGCTGACTGTACCTGCGTCTAGTTACCACGAGTGCAGAAACAATGCACAGAGTGCGGCGAGAACGAGGCCGTCTTTTTCCAGTCGCAGCAGCGCACTGCCGAGACGGGCATGGTGAGTAGGCAATCAAGATTGGCGGCCATGTCTGACTTTGTACCAGGCCCTGTACTACGTGTGCGCGGGATGCGGTCACGTCACACGCCCATCCGACAACAACTAGACGAATTGCGACATGAAATGCATGCGGTTGGCGTTTGTTCTCATGATAGATATATAATATTGCGAGGAGTTTAGGGAGGAAAGCAAAACAAAAGAGGGCCTTCAGATACCCCGTGGGTATGACGTAGTGACATGGAGATGATAATATTACATTTGTTCCTGGGCTTTCTGACAAAATGCAAAGATGCAACCATGGGAAGTGTGCAAGGTGCTGCTGCGGCTGCTGCGGCTGCTTCTTTTTGAATTTTGCTGTGCTGGCTCGTCTGGATTAGACGTGCATTGGGGCGAGGGACAAGATCTTGGACCATTGCTTCTGCCTCAGTTCTGCAGCGACGACGCCGCTGACTCTGGATCCAATGGGCTCGCCGGCCTTGTTGATGAGGACGCAGGCATTGTCGTCGAACTTGACGACGCTGCCGTCTGGCCGCTGCCACTTCTTGGCAGTGCGCACGACGACTGCGTGCCGCACATCGCCTCGCCGGACTTTGTTTGCGGCGCTGATGGACACGCTGTTGCCCGTCTCGGGGCCAAAGTTGCGCTGCTTCTTCACCACGACGACGATGCGGTCGCCTGCTGTCGTCAACCTTGATCCACCCCGGCCTTTGTCTCCGTCTTGGGGCTGCACATACCGACTTTGGCAGGGCGCTTCGATCGCAGGACGTTGACGCACTCGACGATTGCAGCGCCCGAGTTGTCGATGCAGTTGACGAGTGACTGGATTGGATGCATGTGAGCTGCTGTTGCTGTTGCTGTTGCTGTTGCTGTTGCTGTGCCCTCTGAGGCGCGGACAGACACACCTTTAGTTGAATCATTGTGTGCGCCTTGGCTCTGTTGTCTGCTTGCTGGCGGCGGCGGCGGCGGCGTTATCGATCAAGCGGTTTGCGTGCAATGCCGCCGTTGCACGACGAAGTTGAAGTTGCTTGCCGGCCTTTCTCCGGCCTCGCTGCCCTCTAGGCGGCTCGCTTCTCGCTTACGCACCCCCTTCACGTCGCGCGTGAGATCTGGGTCGCAGCCGGCAGGGGTCTTCTTTGAGCCCCAGGCCAGCAGTCCAGTATTATTAGCCCAGCCCTGTCACTCGTCTCGTCCTCCCGCCGGTCTCCAGACCATCCAGCCGTTTCTATCCTAGTCGTCTCCGTGCGCGCCCGACACTCCTTCCTCATACACGCGTCGTTGCTGCTACTGCTGCTGCTGCTTCTGCCACGGCGTGAGACGCTCCTTCCCTTTCCTTGTTGTGCGCCTGCTGTCATAGTCGTACGCCACTGATCGCATGCCGCGCCTCTGCTCACCACCCGGCCCCCATTCACGTCAGCGAGCCCTGCCAACCACCCCTTTCGCAACTACGCCTACCACCATTTCCACTCTACACACCACCTGATACCACGCCTGCTCGCCCGTCGACACCTGCATCCTCTTCCCCGGCCACTGCGCCGCCATGGCGCCCTCGACCAAACTCACGCTGGACAAGCTCGCGACTTTCGACGACATCATCACCGACGCTGTCATCGACAAGGTCTACGGCTGGTTCACCATCCGCAAGAATAGAGGTGGCCGGTTCTCCGGCCTGCGCGGCCTGGATGGCGAACACGTCGCCGACATCATTCGCCAACACGTCATCTGGGACAAAGATCCTGCCGAGGCTGTGCAGAAACTGCTGCAGTTGCCTCGTCTGCGTCGATTCCTGGTCGGCCTGAAAGACGAGCGCGACCAGGAGCAGTTCAGGAGGCACCTCCGCAGATACATTAACATCTACATGCCCGACTGCCAGTTCGACGTGACAACTACGAATCGCTACACCATCACCGAGCACGAGGCCTCAATCACCGCACGGCGCGACATCAACCCACGTGAGGAGATCAAGTACCTGACCGGCGTCCAGGTGGCCATGACCGAAGAGCAAGAGAAAACTTTGGAACTACAGCGCAAGGACTTCAGTTTGGTCATCTCGAGTAGAAAGAAGACACGCTCTCTCTTTCTGGGCCCAGCACGCTTCGCCAACCATGATTGCGATGCCAATGCAAAGCTCACCACCAAGGGATACGACGGCATGCAGATTGTTGCAATTAAGCCCATTTCCGAGGGTGAGGAGATTACTGTGTCATATGGCGAGGATTATTTCGGCGATGACAACGAAGAGTGTCTGTGCAGTACATGTGAGAGCTTGCAACAGAACGGATGGGCACCAATGAAGCGAGTAGAGCGCAGCGATGACGAGGAACCTACTGCGCAAACCGAACCCACAAGTGATAGGCAGGATGATGTCGATTCTGAAGACATACAGACGTCTGTAAAGCGGCGGTGGGAAGATTCCACCATTGAAGACCCTGAGTCTGACTCCATGCCGACTTCCAAGCGAGCCAAACTTGAACAAAAGACCTCGCCGACAAAGCCTGATGAGTCGGACTTGTTGCGAATGACGACACTGAAAAAGGCTCATAGCACATCATCACTACGACAGGAAATTGCTGTTTCGAGCATAGAAGATCCTTCCAGCAACTTGGCCGCACTTCCGCAAATATCACGCGAGATGCGTAACCAGCAGCGCGAAGGCTTCCTCACAGTGAGGACGGATGAAACCGTTTCTTCTAGGGAAATCTCGCCGCAATCTTCAATAGCGGCTGCATCGCCAAAGTCTTCAGAATCGACGGATGCCACTTCAATTGACGACGATCATGTTCATGAGGGCGGCGAATCAAAAGACAAAGTCGACCCACAAACCATTCATGATCAGCCGACATTGGGAGTAACGACAGTGAAGGAGGAAGTTACTACGACTACGGTAAACGCCCCGTGGCCCTCTCTACCTGCAGCAGAACCAGACTCTATGTCCGATCTCAGCGAACTTTCTGAGAGTTTCGAATTTGACGATGGAAATCAGCAGATTGTCAAGCGTAAGCCACGCCCCGTTATCCGAACCACTCGCTCCAAATCACGCTTTGACGTTCAGAACCGCGTCGGAACGCCCATTACGATCGAAGACGGAGACGAGGCCGATTATGTCGAGAACACGCGCAAACCGGGTGACTACATGACTTCTAATGCAGTGCTCTCTGCCAAGGGCTCCAAGTGGGTCAACTGTCACACATGCGAAATGGACTTTGTCCAGCAGGAGGGCAATAACACTCGTAAGGAATGCCCGCGGTGTGAGCGTCACTCCAAACTGTATGGTTTTCCCTGGCCAAAGACGGAAAGAGAGGGTAAGCATGACCGAGAACAGCGCGTTCGTGACCATCGTACCGTGCACCGCTTTGTCGCGCCAGACGAGGAGCGCCAGTTGAAGCGCGACAAGACGAGAAAGATGATTAGAGACAACATCAAAGAGCGGTTTTCAACACCACGCAGTGCCAGAGATACCATGAGTTCGAGTGTCGAAGTCGACAGTGGACGCAGGAGAAGAAGAATTCGGAAGACCATGTAGGGCATAAATCTAAGAACCACGCTTTCGAAAAGAGGGTGCAGAAAGACGTGGAGAATAAGAGGGTGGACTTTGGCTTTTGTATATTGACATTTCCGATACACTCTTTCCACAAAATAGCATATAGCGAGGCGCTTTCGGCGAAGGAGCTTGTACGATATCCGTCAACGATTTACCGCATGGACACGTTTTTATTAATGCCATTAAGTTTTTAGTTCACATACAATATTGAAGCTGCATCCTACGAAAGTAGATGATGAATCGATTTTCTTACCGGCATTGAACTTTCCATGCAGCGAAGCATGTCGTGTTGTATGAAGTTAATCAGGTCTTACATTGCAAATACGAAGGAAGTGGCGAGGTGCTTCCAGCCCACGAATCTCGAATACGACGCCCAGACGCTCATCCGTCTCTTGGAGAAAAACAACAGTCATACGCATCTCGTTTTCTTTTCTCCACGTGGGCCTACAGCAGGAAAGAAGAGCACAGTTTACGCTTCGATATGCTGTTCGTCTTGCCTCCAAGAGCATATCAACGCCACGCCAACGTCTCAAGATCACCCACATCACGTAGACCACCAGAGAGGCAGTGAGAAAGGTAAAAGACTAAATATAATTTTTAAATTCCCAGACAAGACGTTCTAGAAGGCCTACACTATACAAACGTTGTCACGGTACACAGGCGCCACCGCAACGCTGATTGGCTACTCCGTCCGCTCGCTTAATTTGGATAAATGCTCGTAAGGGCCGGATAGGACGTGGGCCAGAGCGCAACACACGGAGCGTTATATTAGAGGGCGGGGGGAATGGCTCTATAGGCGGTGGCGGGAGAACATTGTCACAACTTGAGTGGATGGATATGCAGAGACGGGATTTTTTTTCTTTCTTTCTTTATAGTTTACCAGGGAGGAAGGAGAGTAAAGTGGATGATAAAGTAATTGCGGAGATTGAGCAGTGAAGGAGGGGGGAGGAATTCCGGGTGAAAAGGAAAAGGGGATTATATAAAGGAGGATGGGTTTGTTGGTCGTTTCGTTGCTGAGAAGGATTGAGAAAGGCAAGTTTTTTTAACGATCAAGTTTTGATACTAGGCAATACCAGAAGGACGACACATTCATTCTTTCCATCCTTTTGCTTCTCTCGCAGACCGCCTTTACCATCATTTCTTTTTCCTCTCTCCCCCCCCCTTTTCATCGTGTCTACCGACCCCAAAAGTAAAAAAAAAAAAAAGGAAAAAGAAAATGCACTCCCGCATCCTTCCGTTTCTTAGCCTCGCGCTCCTCGCCGTCGCCGCACCCCCCACTCCCCCAACAATAACGCGCCTCGTCTTCTCCGGCTCCGGCTGCCCCAACGACTCAGGCTCCGTAACGTCCGACACAACAATTCTCGGTGACTCGGCTGGCGTGTCCTTTTCCCAGCTCAAAGGCGACTCGACAAGCAATTGTGGCGTACACATTCAGTCTTCGGGCGCAAGTCCCGGCTGGCAGGTTGCGCTCAAGCAGGCAGATTACGCGGGCAATGTCGAGTTGAAAGGAAACAGCGAGCTCAATACGCTCACGCAGGTTTTCTGGAGCGAGAATGCGGGGGACACGGTGAGTTCTTTTTTTTTCCTTTCTCTCTTTTTTCTTTTCCCGTAGCGTGAAGAGTTGATTGTAAACTTACCTTGTTCTCTGAAAAGAAGAAAGAAAAAAACACAACTGACAATGTCTGCTTTTTTTTTTCCTCCGCAACAGGGTCTTCTCTCAGGTGGCTTGATGAGTACGGGACCAGACGTCAAGGATTACGTTACAGTGCGGAGTAGCGCTTCGGATCTCAAGTGGTCCAGGTGCACGGGGTCAGATGGCAACCCGGGCATCCTGAATGTCAATTTTCGACCGGTTGTGCAGGGCGATTTCGGGAAGTATGATTTCAAGCATGCGAGCTGGACGCTTGCGTGGCGAGAATGTTAGCTGGGTGCTTTGAGTGGCTTAGATCGGGTAGAGGAAGACTTTTAGAGGATGGTGTGCTATGTAGCTTGTATATTCTTCTTTCTCTTCTCTTCTCTTCTCTTCTGTACCGACTATGGAATGATGTGGAGTAAATGATTTACTATAGTCTTTTTGATATAGCAAAATCTCAAAGAGGTATGAGATGCCATATGAGAATCGCACCGGGAGCACACTCAATTATTCCCGTTCGCCTTCTTTTGTACAGTACCACAATGCAATACCGCTTCCTGGGTGTCTCCTCTCCACCCACGCTCCTCAAATGTTCCTCGGTCCGCAGATCCCTGCCTTATCCACCACCAGCTCAAGTTTGTCTCCTCCCAAGCCGCAGGCGTTGAACTTACTGCGCCAGCACCCATTTTCACCTTCTCCAGCTGCCTCAAGTGCACGTGACTTCTCGTTGAGTTTCTTCAAGTCCTGTTCCTGATACCTCTTGGTCATTGCACTTGTCGGATTCTTTTCATGGCTGAGCTCAATTTGAAGGCTTCTGGCAGCATGGTTCGCACCTTGCAAGGTAGTGTACACCTCCGGACGCCCATGAGGATGGTACACACGAACAGGTTCATTAAGCTTGCCTTTGTCGCTGCCTGACTCTGTGTCGGAGTCATCAGAGTCGATTAGCTTGAACAACCTCAAAATGTAGCCAGTATCCGATATGAAGGATGCGTCCTTAACGGAATGAGGCGTCTGGTTTGCCAACTCAGAAACGTAATCGCGTTTGACATATATCCGTGTATGGTGTTTTTTGCTCGGGTATTCGAAAGGCGCTATGGTACTAGTCAGAACTATGCAGCCGTGTTCATCTCGCTTGCTGTTCTGCTCAATCGTCATGTAGCCCGGATACTGTTGTGTGGTCTGGAAATATCTCTCTGCCTGTGCATTTGCATCAAGCATACTAGTAAACGGGCGTACAGTTATCTCACTAATGAAAGCCTCTTTCTCATCTTGCTCACCGTACCACTGCTTTTGGGAGATTGAATACTCAAAGTAAGGTATTGCATCTGCAGAGATTCCGGAAGATTGACTGAGATCTAAAGCCTTGTTGCTGTTTGCTTGTGTATCTTTGGTTCCTAAATGAGCAATCGGCGGGGATACTTTGTTAGCATCTACTGTTGAAACCCTCTCAGAGACGACGCCAGTTGCAGGCGCACAATCTGGACTTTTCTGACCAGCCTTTACATCCATCCCAGTGCTGGCCAGAAATATATTCTGTTTTTTTGGGCTTACATTATTGACATCCCCAGCACTACTGGGAATGCAATCAGCCTTTGATTTTGGTAAAGGTTGCTTCGATGAAGATGGTACTAATTTAGAAAGTCGTGTAGGCTTTTCAAAAGCGCCAAAATTGCCGAAATTTCCAAAAGCTTGTTGCTCGGAATTCGAGTCGCTGTTTAGCTGTCTATCAAGAGTGGTCTGACGAGCCCTTTGAATAAATGCGGGCTTTTCTCCTGTAGTCTTGGATTTATGGGCGCTGCTCCTAGGTTTTACAGCGTTCAGCTGCTTCAAGACGCCCATCTCTCTCAAAATAGGAAACTGTTTTCCAGACTTCTGAGAAAGTTTTGCCTTTTCATTCTGTTCTTTCGGTACAAGGTTTTCTTGTGGGCTGTTGGTAGGTACTGGTACTATCGGATGAGTAGCGGTACTCATAGATCGTTGCAAAGGTTGTTGAGCCAGACTCGATGATGATGCCTTTTGTGTGCTCTGGTCTGATTTTTTATTCCTGCCCAGAAGTGCTTGAATACGAGACTTATTGAGCTGCTTTGTTGGGAGGGATTTTGGAGTAGGCTTTGTCTGCAGGGTGCCTCGTGGCGAAGCTGGCCTCGGAGAAACACGAACATGATTCTTCATTTCATTCACACCGTTTTCATCGCTGTCATCGCTATCCAATACAAAGCCGCCTTTAGTCTTCGGTCGCTTCACAGCACTACTAGAAGCGTCTATTGACAACGATCGCTTTCTTGACGTAGCAGCATTTGCTTCAGCGGTATAAGCTGAAAGATGATTTCGCGATGGCATCTCAACAGTATTCCGGAAGTTAGTCTTATCTGCTTGTTTTGCGAGGTGCTGATGATTTCTCTGTACTTTGCGAAAGGATTCAATTCGATTCCTGGGCTTGTAGAATACCTGCTCTCGGTAGCAGTGGACTTACCGGGCTTATAGATGAAGTACACAGAACTAGCTGCCACAGAGATAGCAAAGTCTTGCTAAAGCTTAGACTTTGTGAGTCCCTAAAAAGAAGGTAAGGCTTGGTAAAATCAACTTCACTTGGTGAGGCCTCCCGAAAATATCAATTGCTCAGAACTTGACACTTGTTTTACAGCTACTGCAAGAGGGACAGGCAAACGAGGTGAGAGATCTCTTGAAGGAACGTATATCGATGTCTCTATCCTAGCAATTCTCTCTTTTAAGAGTCAGAAGCCTGAAATTGAATAGAGCCGCCGCCAGCATGTTGCTATTTATAGTCAAAGGTCAACAAATGGAAGGGGAATTACAAGAAAATCACATAGAATCCTGAGTCAGGCACTGCTTCTGAAGGTGATAAGTGTGTCACGCTAACCAATTTCGGGTCCTGCATACTCGTTCTGGTAGATGTAGTATGTATCAAGTGTCGATTGCCGAATTTGCAGGATTTGCCGCTGAGTCATCATACCCCCACACCCTTAAAGGAAACCACGCTCATGAATTGTATCGAACCTTATGCACTTGCGACGCTGAGTTTTGGCCATTTCCTCCAAAAATGACCCAAGGAGTATCCGAAGGCCCCGAAATACCAGTACCTGACAAGGCACTGAGGGATTTGGCAAAAAATGTGGCCAAGGTCTTGCCTAATTTCGAAGAGGAAGAGGCGGCTGCTGGTGTGAAGTAAGCATGCAAAGTCCGTGAGCTTTGCTTTGATGGTATCGAACAAGACTAATGAAGTCTTAGAAATCTTCACAAAATTCTATCCCCAGTCCTGGAAACTGCGGATCTGACGGATTTGGAGAATAGCCATCGTGCGGCCGCCTCGAATGCACTATGTGCAATCATTGAGCATTGCATGACTTCCAAGTGCCAATATGTGCGAGAAGAGATTCTAAATGACTCAATTTTCATGAAAGCCTTCAGCATCTATCTTCAGCGATCCGGCGACGCAAAAGGCAAGTCGATGAGGCAGATGCTCTTAGTCCTTACAAGTGTCATTACCAGGGACCAAAGCCTACGCACGATCGAGCTCCGGGAGAAAGCCACGGCCTGTTTTCTGGATATTATTTGTGAGCGTGAGGACAGGATCAAAGTGAAGCCAGCTTTACAAGGTCTCGCCCACTTTTTGCTCAAGGAAGTGGTATCAGTATCGGGGCTGGTGGATCTTTTCAGAAAACAGGCAAAGCACTCATCTGGTGCAGCCGGAGATGTCGCAACTTCCCAGATGGTTTTTTTATCCTTTCTTGCCTGGGTCGTTCATCATGACACTTCCCTATCTGCAGGTCATCTGATCAAGAACTTCCTCACAAAGGCTCGCAGCTCTCCAGACTATTGGAAGCAGGAGGCCAATGGCAAGCACATGCCGCTTTGGATAGAACCAGTAGCGGAAACTTTACGAGATTGGCCGGATCGGATACAGGAATTCAAGACCCATGTATTCCCTCACTGTTTCCTACCAAACATTGCCGAATACACTCAGTTTCTATCGTACCTTCATTTCGGTTCATACGTTCCACACGATGGTGTGCTACCGGATGTACTATCGGAGCCTAGCAGACCTACTTCATCTATCAATGGACCAATGGAATTTAGAATCTTGCTAGCAGCGATTGCGACTGGTAAAGAGCTCACCATCGTAAAGGATAACGGTAAGAATACAGCTCCATGATCCGGTGTTGGTGAATTGGGACATTTTCTTACTTGTTATTTAGATCACAAAGCGCGGAGTAGCATAGAAATCCGCGATGGCGCGGTCTATCTGCCTGACAACATCGCAGGCAAATGGATGGCTGATCCCGAGCCTGAAGTCAGGCTTGCTGGGATGTTTCTTTCAATCTACTCGACCTCTGTCACAAGAGTTGTCAGCAGCAGCGTCTTTCAAGCATTGAAACATAATCTCATCCACCTACATACCGATACAGACGCCAACTTTCGAAGAGAGGTACATGGATATACACAAAAGCTGTTCGACCGCCTAAGGGCAAGCACAGCCACTCTTTCGAAGGGTATGTTGAAAAACAAAGTTGCTGGTCAAGCGCGATTGCCTTTTCCAAAAGCAGCATTCGATTCCGGTCTCTCCGTTTCCCATCCCAAGCAACAAGACTCGCTTCTGGAGTCACTTTCGTTTGTTGTGTGGTATATACGGTTTCTAGAGTGGGAGCTGCGCCCAACCGCATCCTATCAAAGTCGCATTACAGCCCTCAGATCTCTCATCATTGTGCTACGTTCAGGCGTGGATCCTGGTGTTCCATACAATAGTCTCTCGAAATCAGCGCAAGGGCAGTTGAATTGGGCCCATGGAATTCAGATTGGAAACAAAAAGCTGGTGCGAACACTACTGGACCTGATACTAGACCCCTTTGATGATGTTCGCGATGCGGCCGTGTCAGTTCTACAGCTATGCTTATCAGCCCTACCGGAATTGGATAAAAGACATGTGATGTCAGCAGTTCCTCCGTTCATCGTGCGAGCAGAGACCATCATGCTCCGGACCGGACGAGCTGACCAAGCGGATGGTGTTGCTAGAGCCTATGGAATGATCTTCAGCTCTGCAGAGAACGAAGAAGTAACTCCAGGGAGTTCTTGTTTCTCTACAAAATTCCAAATTTTTGAACATCTCCAGAAGCAGCTCAAGGAAACATTGGCTATAGCACATAAGGACCTTTCCCAGGCTGTCGATGGCCAGCCTGTACATGGTATCTTTGCGGCATTGAGATACGTAGTGGACCAGCCTGACTTCTATGCTTTCATATCAGACATGCCACCAGGTGCTTTTATCAATTGGAAAAGTCTTCATGGCGATATTGTAGAGAGTATCGAGAGCCTATGGAACTGCGTTTACCACGTCCTATGTGCAGATGCACCAGAAGGACACATCCCTGACGAATTGGAAGATGAGGGAAGCTTGGATACCAAAGAGATTCTGAGTTACTCATGGAGAGGTCTCAAGGAAGCAAGGTGAGTAATTGGTGACTATTGAGGGGTTTCATTAACATCTTGTAGTGTCTTACTTAGAACCATCATTTCAAAGGCCCCTGTGGGTGATGCAGAAGGTGATCTTGTAACACCAGAGCTCTTTGAAAAGCTAGGGCGGCTATGTTTTACCCAGCTGTTGGAGCTGCGGCATCGAGGCGCCTTCTCGACTGTATCCCAGACCTTTGCAGTTTTCTGTCGTCGTTGTGTAATGTCGAGTATTCCCTCTCTTCGCGCGTTGCCAGAAGCGTGGTATCAGGTACGTGAAGAGACTGTACGACCTTCCAAAATATACATTTTAACGCATGCCAGGAAACCCTGCGATCTATCCAAGACAAGTCAGACGCCATCACTCGGAGATCTGCAGGTATACCGGCGGCCATGTCAGCCCTTTTGGCCGCGGAGCCACAGACCAACGGCAACCTCTTCCCTCGGGCAATGAAAGATCTTACTGCAGAGACACTGGTTGAAGCGCAAAGCGCAAATATTGAAGAGAGTCGTCTTCCGCAAGTACATGCACTTAATTGCATCAAGGAGATATTTACCACATCGAAGCTCAGTGTTGCTTCTGAAACATACATTGGCCAGGGTCTCGAGTTGGCCGCGAAAACACTCAACTCACCTATGTAAGAAGGTACAATCTTCATTTGGTTTTCATACTGACGTCTGCTATAGATGGCCTCTTCGTAACTGTAGTCTAATGCTGTTCAAAGCCCTCATAGAGAGGTTGCTTGGCAGTGACGAAGCTCAAGATTGGAAAGAACGCGATCGAGCAAAGACATCACGCTTTTCCTACGACAACTACCCCAGCCTCGTCACAATATTGCTCGACCTACTCAAGCCGAATGGAAACCGGAAGATTATGGACACGCCCGAGACGGGCAGCTCGCCTCTCGATCTTCACGGCGCCGAAGGTGTCTTTCCAGCTCTCCAGATTCTGCGTCAAGCAAGACCACCACCTGAATATATTTCAAAGATGCAGGAATTGGTGAAGGAGCTTATTCCAAGCCCGCATTGGCACATGCGAGACATGGCTGCAAGAACTTATGTGTCGCTATGTTCCCCAAATGAGGGGGCTGAAGCTCTTGGTCTCATCCTAGACAATGCCCCTGCCAGCCACAATGGACAGCATGGAACACTTCTGGTAGTGAAGTATCTGTTGAAAAAGATGCTTCGCAACTCGAGTCAATTTAGTGGGTTTTCTCTTGCACTCAGTCCTACAATAAAACTAACCATCCACAGCCTTGGACTGCTTCGCAAGCGTAATGCAACAGGTTTGCAGAAATGCACACATATGGTACGCCTCGAGCAATTGTCTATTTGTCAAATCTGCCTTCTTAGACGTTGTCGGCTTGTGTGGCATGAATATACTCCGCCAGGCGAACGCCGTCTCGGTGCTGGATAGCTGGGCTGACCTTGCCGGGTCCGTCTCCATTGGTCCTGAATTCAATATCGGACCTAGTGAGTACCACGGAGACGATTTATTTCGCAGTTCCTTGGCTCAAGTCTTCATCATCGACCGCGTAATCATGCGGGAAACTTCACTTGGCATCATGGTCTCAGACGAATATCAGAATATTGGCGACGCTCTGATGCTTCTCGCAGCCCAAGACCCAGATACTTGTCTAACCGCTCTACGCACACTAGACACCATCATGAAGTCTATGCCATTTGAAGGCTTGACCATCCCACTCTCCTTGGTATTATGCCACATCCACCGTGTCATCCTCGAAGCCACCGATGCAGAAGTAATCTCAGCCGCCCAATTTGTCCTGGCTTCGGCCCTCACAAACAAACAACACCTCCGCCACAAATTTTTCTCTCTCACTACACAAGACCAAATCATACTCACCTTGGCTAAGCTAGAATTCCAGTGTCTCGAGGGACCGCCGTCAAACATGCAAAGCGGCTTGCACCTTGTCGCTTTCTTCCTCGACCACGCATACGCTTCTCTACCCGAGCAACGCAAAGATGTTCTATCCGCAATGTCACGATGGATCCGTATTCTTCGCAGGACAATCATTGACACGAATCCCTTTGACACACGCTTCGCTGCAGTACAGTCTCTGCATGCACTACACTCCACTCTAGCCGCACGCCCCATATCAAACTCGACACGCGCTTTGCTCCTGAGTCTCAGTCTGGTTCTCTATGACCTCCTCAATGATGACGATGACGAAATCCGTGATCTAGCGGCGAGCACAACAGGGAATCTGCTTCGCGCTCAGGGGTACACGACGTCGTTGTGCAAAGACACCGTGCCGATACTGAGCAGTTATCGTCTAGCGCTGTTTACATGCCATACTTTCCACTCATCATCGATATCAGCATCGACATCGACATCGGGAGGCGTCCTGGCTACCCAGGCTCTGTACCGTCTGGCAAATACTACTACTACGGCAGAAGCACTCTTCTCCACGCCTTTTGTGGAGACATTTGCGCGAGAGAGACAAGAAGACATGGCGTTATTTGCACAAGAGAAGCAGAATTTGTACAAGGATGATGTTTTGGATGTGCTACTTTGGTCGCGTGTGTTACTTCACCTGCCTGCTTCGTGTGTCTCTTTGGCGTTGAAGGCAGGACTGGCGAAATGGGTGGCGGATGGTTTGGCTGTGCTCACAGAAACTGCGACTAAGGAAGAGGATGGTGCGTTAGGATGGAGTTCAAAAGCCGAAGTCTTTACGCTGGGGATGCGAATCTTTTGCGGGGCCGAGGTAGTCATAGGGTGGGGTGACGCGAAGACAAAGAGCGATGTGATGATGGCGCTGGGCAAGTTTTTGCATGTGGCAAAGAGCAAGGGCGTTCATGGTTTGTGGGTTGAAAGGATGGAAAAAGTAGTGGAGAAGGAGGTCTTGCGGATACTGCGCAAAATCAAGGAGAGCCTGGACGAAGTATGAAGTGCACAATTTGGGCCATGTTTTCCAGACCAGAGATAGAATGAAGTAAAGAGTTGATTGTCAAAATGATCAACAACATGTGAACAATTGGCTAGAAGAGAAGCGACGGTATTCTCCAAAAAAAAGGTTTGAGACGATGAAATTGTCACGCAAGGTTGTTACCGCCGATAAAACATGTTGATGGGACTATCGCTGACTTGCCGGCTCACACTCCCATATTTGGCCTGCCATGCAAAGAAATAGAGCAAGGCAGCGAGCGGCTGTCCAACAAGACAAAAACTGACCCAGAAGATCATGTTGCCTGCGACCTTGCCTTGAATGCACCTAATCTTCTGGATGACGTCGGTGAGCGCAATGAGTGGAATCTGGATCATCATGCCCGCAAATGCCACACCAATGATGTTATGCGTGGGCACTCCGACAAGCAGCTCATGAAGTACACCAGAAAAGAAGAAGACAAGAATCTGAGCCACAGGAGGGGGGATACCACGACCGACTAAAGGAGAGTAGATGTGCCGACGCATGAAATTTGTCACCGGTTTGTTCCAGGTCGTCCAGTAAGTGCGAATAGACGACACGTTCCACCAGTCGCCATAGAATTCCCGGTCGCCAAAACGCATTACTTCAGCAAGGGCATTGAGTGCCGACTGGAAGAGAGCAAAGAAGCCGCAGAGCCAGCAAAATACGGAGATGGTGGAGAGCTTCATAACGCGCTCGACGATAGAAGTGAAGTTGAGGGTAAGGACCTTGTCGAGGGAGTTTTGCAGCAGTGGCGCAGCGTACTGAGCCGAGGCAATCCAGATGACGATGCTGAGGCCCGCCACCTCGAGCAATCGCTTGAAGACAAAGTCCCAGCGTACTTTGTCCGTTCGGGGATAAACAGGCTGGTAGACAAGAGTCGGAGCCCACCAAAAGTAGCAGAGGTTCTTCATGTTGATGTTTTGTGGGTATGGGCACGTATTGTATAGCTCAGGAAGCGGATCGGCCTGTTTTGGGTGGAGGTAGGCATGGCGCAGGTCGCGGTTCGTGAGTGCGTATGAAGCGCACTTCAAGAAGACGATGACGGCGTGCATCTCGCATAGCGTGCCAATTCCCGGGTGGTAGATGTCGTAGTAGACATACTTTGTGGCAATGTAGAGATTTGCGACAGCATTAACGCTGTGGAAGAAGGCTATCATGTACCAGGTCAGGTTGAAGCTGCGCAGTGCTGCTGCGTACTTGGTGGGACAATCGTTATCATGCTCCCCGGCGACGCGGGTGTGCGCTCGGTTGGCCTGCCAGGCAGCGGCCAGTTCGATGAGGTATGTGACGAACAGGTGGGCAGGAACGAGGAGGTAGAGGAGCAGGCCGGTGATGACGTCGGAGCGGCTGTAGTCGTGACAAGAGAGGCATATGAGGACACCATACTAGTCAGGTTAGCATGGCCAAAGACGAATGCATAGCGGAGACGCACCTTTTGTAGGTTCACAATCATCAATCGCAAGTTGGACACGACTGGTCCTGTTAGCCGTGGGCGAGAGTGGTTAGGGTTAGGGAATGCGTACTGAGCACCAGGATCATGAGATTCCTGAAGCCGACAAAACTGGGACTCTTGTCTGCATCGTGGCTCAGGCACGAGGTGCGCGTCAGAGCGTGTGTAGCAAAGACATGGCGATATTTTGTGTCGCGGGCGAGTTTGGTGGTTTTGTTGGTGGTGGTAGTTGTGGTGGTGGTCGCAGTAGGAGTCGCGGATTCGGAGGCGTCCTTTCCCCGGAAGACGGCAGTGTTGGCGGCAGGGGGGAAAGGAGAGGCGTCAATGGCAGAAGAGGAGGCCATCTGGGTGATTGTCGTCATGATGGGAGGGCAAGGCGACTTAATCGTAGTGTTAAATAAGGCAAGGCGACTTGTGCCCAGAGCGCAATGGCTCAGGGTGGTAGTAGCGACTGGGGCTTGGGGAAAGGTGCGGCAAGCACAAGGGCGGGAAGAGGCTTGTTTGAGCGTGGGCTGTGGCGGGCGAGATGGATTTGTATGCTCAGCAGCTGGGACAAGCCCGCCATGACGGCCACCCTCGGTCTCTGCATTCTGGGCTGCTGAGAGATACGAAGGCCCGTCTGAATTTCTGTTGGGAGATGGCCAAGCGGGGGGATGCACGTTGATGCACCTCGCCCACATCCTAGTGGGTAGGGGATTAGTTCTTGGTAGGACATGGGTAGGACCGTTGGATGGTGGCTTGCCCCATGCACGCGCCTCGTGTGGCGTAATGTGGCTTGTGTCTTGTGCCTCTGTGGCTCTGTGGCTTGGCGGGCGTAGGACGCGACAAAGCACGCGCTGCACTGTACTACTACGACTTACGTACATACTCTTTCCGTGCTCTACATACAACCGCAGCTGGCCCATCGCCACCAATCCCCTCGCTTCCTTGTCGCCGCTCTTTGCTGTGATCCCCTTGTCCATGCGCACCAGCTAGTCAAGGTTGTCTGGCAGCAGCAGCCAGCATGGAGCGCGAGTACCATCGCCCCGAATTCGAAGGCGGCCTGCGTCCCCGACCGAAACGTGAGTATCACCACTGCGCATGCCTGACCCTCAATCCCAGTCGATGCTCTCTCTATTCATCATGCACTTCACTTTTTGTGTCGTACTCGCGACATGGCGATTATTGGCCTTGGGAGCTGACTCGAGTCTGCAGGTGCCGTTACTGACTATGGCTCGACAACGGTGCAATGGATGCGCAATCGGCGCCCACGGTACAAGAACGTGCCCAGGCCAGAGGTGGAGCGGCCGAGTGCAAGCTACATTGTCGATATGCAGCCTCCTGCAGCGCGCATCGCCAGTGCTGCCGAATCCATACCTGCAAAGGCGGTACATTCGTCACTCAACAAAGTAAAGCATCCCATCAACGTAGTCAAGTGGACGCCAGAGGGTCGACGCCTGCTCACCGGCTCGACTAGCGGCGAGTTCACGCTGTGGAATGGCATGGGCTTCAACTTTGAGACCATCATGCAGGCTCACGAGGCGGCCATTCGCGCCGTCGAGTACACCTCTACCGACGACTGGCTGCTGTCTGCAGACCAGACCGGAGTCGTCAAGTATTGGCAGACCAACTTTAACAATGTCAAGGAGATACAGGCGCACACAGAGGCTGTGCGGGGGCTCGCAATAGCCCCCACTGACTCCAAGTTTGTTACATGCGCCGACGATACCACACTGAAGATCTGGGACTTTGCGTCAAGTACCGAAGAGTCGACGCTGACAGGACATGGATGGGAAGTCAAGTCGGTCGACTGGCATCCGCACAAGGGGCTGCTAGTATCGGGATCAAAGGATCACCAGGTCAAGTTCTGGGATCCGCGGACAGGCCGCTGTCTGACGACACTTCATGGACATAAAAACCCAATATCAAAAACCATGTTCGAGCCTGTCCAAGGAAACATGCTAGCAACCTGCGCCCGTGATCACACCGCCCGCATCTTTGATATCCGAATGATGCGCGATGTCTTACTGCTCAAGGGCCACGAGAAAGATATCATTACAATGGCGTGGCACCCCATGCACAAGAACCTGTTGTCTACGGGAGGTGTAGATGGCAGCATTCATCATTACCTCCTCGACGAGCAGAACCCTCCCCCAGGCGTTGCGCCGTCAATATCACCCTACGATGCTGCAGACTCACAAAACGCCCCTTCGCAAACTATATATCCCGCACACAGCCTGCAATACGCTCACGACTTTACAGTCTGGACCATGGACTGGCATCCGCTCGGTCATATCCTCGCATCTGGCTCCAATGACCGCGTCACTCGTTTTTGGACACGCCCCCGGCCTGGCGATACAAACTACATCAACGACCGGTACCACATTGGGCAAGCCGCAGCAGAAGCCCAGGGTACTTTTGACCGCAGCCAAGGCCGACGACAGAAGATGGAAGAAGAAGAACAGGAAGCGGAGGATGAAGCAGAGGGTCTGGTTGACCAGAAACTCCCATCTAGGAACATGGCCAGTGCGCCCTTCCTGCCCCCAGGTCTCTCACTTCCAGGACTCTCTGCACCACCAGATGGCACTTCAAGCGCTCTCCCAGGCATTGGCGGTGCAAGCCAACATTCTATCCATCCTCCTCCGCCACCACCTCCACCGGCAGGAATACCCTTCCCGCCCCAACCAAACGCAAGCGGGGCACCTATTCCTCCTCCCTTCTCAGGCATGGACCCATCTCACATTGCCCAACTCATTGCCTCTGGCTCTCTGCCGCCCCCTCCGCTCCCCCACGGTCACGGTCCGCCTCCACCTCATGGCGGAAACGCTGCTGCTCCTCCGTTTCCTCCACCCCCGAATTTCCCTGGTTTCCCACAGGGAATGCCGCCGGGTATGCCGCCTCTTCCCCATGGCATGCCTCCCCCTGGTTTCCCTGGCTTTCCGCCTCCACCGCCTCCTGGTGGATTGGGCAATGCTGCGCCGCCGCCGGGATGGCCTGGTCAACTTCCAGTGCAACAGCCGCAACAACAACAACAACAACAGCAGCAGCAGCAGCAGCAGCAAGGATTTGGGGGTGGAGGTGGGCAAGGTGGTACAGGAGGCAGTGATGGCCTGGTAAGGAAGAGAGCACCATTGCCAGATCAGCAGGATGCATTGAAAGCAGAGATGAGTCAGGGGAGGTATAGGAAGGCGAGATAGTCTTTTAAACGTCTAAGTCTGGGTGTTGCGAGGGAGTCTAGCTACCAATTGTCCAAGTGTACGAAGTCAAGATTACGCGAAGAATTCAGTGTTACGAAAGCAGTATCTTTGGCGTTTTTTTCTTTCTCTCCTTCTTCTCCCTCTCTTTCATTCTCTTTCATGATGAGGAACTCTTGAGAAGAGAGAGAGGGAACAAAAGTGGGTGCATGAGTAATCGACACTTTTATTCCTTGTGCTTTTCCTCTAATGGGATATACAAACAACCCTTTACTTTTCCTCACAAGTCCTTCAACAACCCCGCATCCGGTATATCCTTGAGACACTGCACCTTTGCTTTTTCCCGCAGCAAGGCGTCGCCCCCACCTTTTACAACCGCCTCGCCAAAATTCCATAGCTCATCCAAAAAGGCAGGTACAAAGGTGCCAGGGCCGCTGACATCTTGTCGCCCAGCAGCAATCTGAGCCGCAATTTCGTAATGCAAAATGGCAGCCACAGCAGCGTGAAGCTTATCTTCAGGATTAGCAGCGAGGTAGGCGGATAGCGTGGTACCCAGTGTACACCCACTGCCCGTGATTCGACCGAGATACTCGTGTCCATTCGCAATGGCATATGTGCGTATGCCGTCGGAAACTACATCTGTCGCACCTGTCATGAGGACGAGGTTGCGCTCGCGAGCCGCAAGGCGCTGGACGATGTATGCCTTTTGGGCTAGCGAGAAGAGCGAGGCACCGCTGTCTACACCGCGTTGCTGCGAGCTATCCGTCACCGTGTACCCGGATGCACGCGCTACGGCTAGAATCTCCTTTTCGTTTCCTTTGATCAGGTCGAAGTACCCGGTACCCATGAGGGTGGAGAGGGCGGTGCGCCGGACGGATGTTGCGCCTGCGCCTACAGGATCGAGGACAACGGAGCTGCCGGCGGCGTTGTATGCGGATATGGCTTTTTGGTAGTTGAGGATGCCGTCGGGGGTGACGGTGCCCATATTTACGACCAAGGCACCGCCGAGTTGGGATAGGTCGTGGGCTTCCTCGCCATAGTTTGCCATAATGGGCGAGGCGCCAATGGAGAGGGCAACGTTGGCGGCAAAGTTTTGGACAACGAGGTTGGTCATGTTGTGGGACAATGGGCCTAGCTGCTTGACCCTTTGTGTGCCTCTGACCGCTTGGGCTAGGAGAGACGTAATCTCGTCTTCATCCTTTTCGTGCCAAAAGCGTGGCTCGGTCGACTTGAGCTTGAACGGTGGAGGGGATTTGATAAGCTTCAATAGGCTTTGCGAGGCAGCTTTGGGGTCAGAGGCTCCGACTATGGCTGATACTACAGCAACGCCGTCAATGGTTTTGGGGTTGGGTTGGATAGGCGTTGGAGCGAGAAGTTGGTGAGTTATGCGCTGCACATTCGAGGCGTTCACTCCACCGATGCACACTGTCTTGACGTTCTTCTCTGCTTCGCTCCCTTGGTCAAGGTATCTCAGTATCTTGCGGATACCAGGAATGCCGATTATTTCCTTGGTGTTCTTCTTTGTGTTTGTGGCGTATAGAGTGCCAATGCCTAAATAATCTGCTCCCCGTTCAACGGCAACCCGAGCCTCTTGGACGGAAGAGACGGTGGCGCCGATGATCTTGTCTTTGCCCAGGATACGGCGGGCTTCGACTACGTTCATGTCATCCTGCCCCAGATGTACACCCTCACAACCGACGGCCAATGCGACGTCAACACGGTCGTTTATAACAAGGGGAATTCCGTGTGCTTTGCATCTTTGATGCAGGGCTTTTGCTGTCGAGATAAGGAGGCCGGTGTCAGAAGTCTTGTCTCTGTACTGAACAATGGTGACACCGCCGACTAAAGCGTGCTCAACAACATCAACCAAGTTGCGGGAGCCGAGGATGGCTTCTGTGGAGTCAGTCACGAGATAGAGGCTGTAGTCTACTTCTTGGCCGCTCATCTTTTCCGTCCTACGTACGTTGGGGACTCCAAAACAAATGTGACCCCAGCATGCAAGGTCAAGACGTTGGAAGACGCTATCGGAGATGACGCAATCGAGACGGGTTCGGCGCAGGCCTTCAATTGGCTGGGGAAGAAGCAACAATGTCTTCAGCAGCACACGTTTGCCATGTAGGTACGTGCACGGTATTTGTGCGGGTGCAGGTGTGCAGTGTGAGTGTGAGTGCTCTGAGATTGCTGTGCGGGGCCCAGCCACAGTGCCCCTCGCTGAAAAAAGCACATGTCGACGATGATTGGCAACGGGCCTCGCAACCTATATGTAGTACAGTACACGAGTGAATACATACTTCATACACGTGTGTCGGCTGCCATCACGGAATTCTGGCCGGCCATGGCTGATGGTTGAGAGTGGAGAACGGTGGCTTGGAAACGTGTTCTCTTCGCCACCACATTCCGCTGCTGGTGCCGGTGGTCAGCAACCAGGCTACAGAGGCAGAAAATGTTTGAGCGGCAGACTACTGAGGTATAGGTGTAGGCGTCTTTGTCGCTGTCGGCCGGCTTCATGCAGGAGCGGCTTGCTGAAACAAATGCCTGGCAATATGGTCTGCTTTCTCGTTTGGCCCCAACGGCTGCGTGTCGGATGGCTGCCTCCATACTCCATGTGCGTAGTATACACGACACCGGGCTGCCTCTTGCTATGGCAGCAAACACGTCTGTCCTGCAGCATCAATGCCTGGCACCCGCGTGAACATGCAGAAAAAAAAACGTGCAATGCAAGGCTGTGGGCGGCGGGAGGGCTGTGGGCGGTTTGGTAGGGCGGATTGTGCTAGTGTGGCTCGGCAAAGTCGAAAAACTAACCTCCGCCGTCCCCATATAACTTCTCTTGACCACCCACGACTCGCTCCCACACGCACACTCACCCTTTGCACCGCCCAAAAATCCATCCACCGCATCCGTCAATCCACGCCACTGCCTCCCCACGGGCATCAAGAGCACAACACTCTCAAACCCCCCTCACCCGCCTGCTTGTCGCCCTCCCGCGACTTGCCCTAGCCGCCACCACCACCACCCCACGCCTCGAGGCCACACGCACAACCCGCTCCTCAGAGTTGCCAGCGACATCAGGAGTATATGTATTCGCGCCAACGCTACGCCTTCCGAGTCGAACCTCCCCCCAAACTGCAAAAATTTCGCTGTATGCGGATACCAAGCAGTACTATACACCAGACCAACGGCTAATCCACTGCCCCTCCTGACCCCGAGTCGCGCCTCTCCACCACCCCTACTATCCCAGAGCCTGCATTTGCGCATGTCTCTTTCGGCCCTCGTCAACATACCCGACCCGACCTTGTCTGTCCGCACGCTGCACTACCAGTAACAACCTCACCCTCCTGTTCCCCGCACCACCGTCACCATGGCTACCGTCAACATTCGCCGCGATGTCACCGACCCCTTCTACCGCTACAAGATGGAACGTATCCAGTCCAAGATTGAGGGCAAGGGCAACGGCATCAAGACTGTCATTGTCAACCTGAGCAGCGTCGCTGGCTCACTCGCCCGCCCCCCTGCTCACGTCATCAAGTACTTTGGTTTCGAACTTGGGGCCCAGACAAACACCAGCCCCAACGACGACCGATGGATCATCAACGGCGCCCATGACGCCAGCAAGCTGCAGGACTACCTCGACGGCTTCATCTCCAAGTTCGTCCTCTGCAAGAAATGCAAGAACCCCGAAACCGACGTCCACATCAAGGATGGCAACATCACGCTCGACTGCAAGGCGTGCGGAAAGATTTCCGAAGTTGACCCTCGTCTCAAGCTCAGCTCCTTCATTCTCAAGAATGAGCCCAAGAAGGGCAAAAAGGACAAGTCTAGCAAGAAGGCCGAGCGCCGTGCCCGCAAGGAGGCTGAGGCTCGTGGCGAGGCCGGCTCGCCCGACAACGGCAGCCCTGGTGACAGCGCAGAGGAGAATGGTGACGACGGCGACCTTGCCCTCGAGGCTGGCAGTGACGACGAGCTCACTCGCCAGATCAACGAGGGCGCCAAGGAGATTGAGGAAGAGGATGCCAAGGAGGTCGAGTGGTCCATTGACACGTCTGAGGCGGCCATCAGGGCCCGTGCCCAGGATCTTCCCGACGACCTCAAGCGCGCTCTCGTCATTGAGGAGGACGAAGAGGGTGGATCCAACTACGACACTTTTGGCAAGTGGATCATCGACACGGGCGCAGAGAAGGGCGGCGTAGAGAACCTCGACAACGTCGACATCTACATCAAGGCCAAGGAGCTCGGCATCGAGACCAAGCACCGCACCCTTACCGTCATCCCCCAGACTCTGTTCACAGAGAAGATTGTCAAGCAGATTGACGCACGCGCTCCGATGCTCAAGAAGATGATCACGTCGGACAAGCACGAGAAGGCTTTCCTTGGCGGTATCGAGCGCTTTGTGGGCATTGACAAGCCTGAGCTCATCCCTCAGGTATCTGCCATCCTGCTCAAGGTGTACGAGAATGACCTCGTGTCTGAGGAGCAGCTCCAGACGTGGTGCTCCAAGGCCAGCAAGAGGTATGTTGACCTCAAGGTCAGCAAGACTGTTCGCAAGTCGGCCGAGCAGTTCAAGAACTGGCTTGAGCAGGAAGAGAGTGAGGAGGAGGACTCTGACTAGAACGGTTATGCTTACAACCGTGCATGGTGAGAGTGTGTGGATTAGCCGACCGCCTACTGTCTCTACCTCTGCATTGCTTCTTGTGTCGATTTGTTCCTAGTTTGACATTGCTTGGTTTTAGTTGAAGACGATGCTGTATTCTCTCTCTACTTTACTCTACTCTGCCTAGCCAATCATTAGAAGAAGAAAACCTTGATTTTCGCAACACTTCGCTTCACGGCCGTGCATTGCCGTTTACTTACATGTGTACCTACTTGAGTGCACCTGTGCCCCACTACCGTGCCGTAGTCAATTCCTTCCACCAGGTGCTCGGGCCCACGCTGGGCACACGGCGAAGTCTCTGCGTGCATGTGTAGAAACGCCATCCGAGCCATAGCCCGTGCTACACCTAGTCAATGAGAACATGGCGCGCACCTGCATGCCCGCCCCCACTCTATGATCAATCCTCGCTTGCTCCCTGCCATTCACGGCTTGTAGCTTCTTTTGCTGTTCCACTGACACTCCTTCACCACCCACCCTCTGCCCTCTGCCATGCAGGATAGCGGCACCCAGAAAGAGAGAGAGCGGGAAAAAAAGCAAGCATCGGACCTCGCCTACTCTTAGTGCCACAGGGCACCACCGCGTCGAGCACGTCCTCAGCTCCCACACGGTCCATGTCCACCCGCTGGGAGCTTAGTCTCCGAGGTTTTGCCCCACAGAGGCAAGGACAAGTGGGGGTTCCATGCTCTGGATCCCGGCCAAGAACGCCTTTTTTTCAATCCACCGCTCCATGGTGGGTGGAGCGCGCGACGTGACTGGGTGAGGGAGAACCCAAAAGTCTGGCTTATAATGTGGCCGCTCCCTCGTCCTGGCCACAGCCCTTCTCCAAGCAACCGTACGCTTTGTACACCTCTCGTGAGCGACTTTGGGGTTTTGCGCTCACGTCAAGTCCAAAAAGCTCCCACAGGTTATTATCCTCGCCTAGTATTCGACCTTGATCGCCCACAGGTCTAGCGTCATGAACCAAGTCCAAGTCCACCCCGCCGAGGGCGTTGTTGTCCAGGATGCGCACCAGCAGCACTACGATCCGCAGTCAGTGCACAAGACAGGCGCCGGTCACTATGTGACGTCTGAAAACGAGTCGCATAGCGGTGCGCCAGCCAACGAAATCTTGGAACGCGATGCGCAGGCAAAAGGACGCTGGTTCCAGTATATCAAGACGAAGCAGTTCTGGCTAACGCTAGTGATTGGGCAGGGTATGCATCCATACCAACCGACTACAATTCAATGCAACACAGCTGACCAAGAGCACACAGTCCTTGCCATTTGTATTACCTCGACAAACACTTTCTCTTCTTTGCTCTCGGCAGAGGGCACTTCGATTCCCGCCTTCCAAACCTTCTTTAACTACGTCCTACTCAACATCATCTACACCTCGTATACCCTGTACAAGTACGGTTTCAAAAAATGGGCCCGTCTCGTCGTAAAAGATGGGTGGCGCTTCTTCATTCTGGCTTTCATGGACGTCGAGGGTAACTACTTTGTTGTCCTGGCGTACCGCTATGTAAGCCATACTCGCTTGCGTGAACTCATGAGCAATCGCTAACACACCTGCAGACTACTATTCTTAGTGCCCAGCTAATCAACTTTTGGGCCATCGCCGTCGTCGTCATCATCTCCTTCTTCTTCCTCAAAGTGCGCTACCACTATACCCAAATCTTCGGTATTCTTCTCTGCATCGGCGGCCTAGGCGTAATCTTCGGCTCGGACCACATCACGGGCAGCAACAACTTTGGCGCTACCGATCAAGTCAAGGGCGACTTGTTTGCTCTCCTAGGCGCAACTTTCTACGGTCTCTCTAACGTGTTCGAGGAATGGCTGGTTTCCGAACGGCCTCTGTACGAAGTCGTTGGCCAATTGGCTTTCTGGGGCATGTTCATCAACGGCACACAGGCTGGCATTTTCGACCGCGCTGCCTTTCGCACCGCCACATGGAACGCAGATGTCGCCGGTTACATTGTGGGTTACACACTTATCCTCTCCCTCTTTTACTCGCTAGCTCCAGTTCTGTTTCGCATGAGTTCTGCCGCCTTTTTCAACATTTCCCTGCTTACAGGGAGTTTCTGGGGCGTCGCTATTGGGGTCAAAGTGTTTGGGCTCAAGATACATTGGATGTACCCCATTGCGTTCGTCTTGATTATAATCGGTCAAGTCATCTATTTCCTGAGACAGAGCACCGTCGGCGAGGCGCTGAAGCCTTGGCTGGGAAAGAATCAGGAGAGGGGACATGCTGGGTTGGGAACGGCAAAGAGGAGGGTCGAGAGGCCTGAGGCTATTGTTTGATAATATGTTTTGCTCGAATGGGATGAATGGATTGTTGGGGAGATGCGAATACCCTGGTTGATACGAGGTTCACGTATTGCGGTGATCTTGGACCGCTCAATAATGAATGATGCGTTTTTTCTCACGGAAAGATTCATGTCATTCTGGAGTTTCTTGAAGATCTATGTGAAATCTAGTTTGTCGATGTACGTCTGCATAACATTCAAGCCGACCGTCCATATTTCCCTGAGTATTGGTGCGGCGTGCGTGAAGCATGACTGGGGTACACTCTACTTTTTGAATAATACTGGTTACCAAATCTTGGAGCAATCTAACGATAGACTAGTATAGCCGAAAGACGGCTTTCAGAGACCCACAATAATGTTCTTCCTTCAGCCTTATACCCAAGGCCCTGCTGCTAGAAGTAACATGAAGGATTCCCCACTTGAAGAGGGGCGATGAGGCTGAAGGCTAACCATGTCCACGTCAGAAAGTGATGATCTTCGCTCTGCGATGATCAAGTGACTAAAGCATCTCACCAACACATTGCCTCCTGGAGGCCAGCGTACGAAGGAAGAACAGGACCTGAGGCAATGCGTACAAAGAATAACCGGCTTTCATTGTTACGCTTGTTATGGCCAAACCTCTCATTATACTTTCTTAGAAACTGTTAACAAGATTGATGCAAGTTATTCAATAGCTCAATATAGCTGCCTATGCAAGACTGCAGAAGCAACGACTTAGCTAAACCAAAGCAACTAGCCACTGTAATGACAACAAGGATGCACTTCCTCAACAAGAAAAAGCAACAGCTACACACCACAGCTCTCGGTCGATCGATAAAGTCGGAAAACCCAGACCAAGCGGGCTAGTCCACCAAAACGACCAACCTTCACAACAGGATATCAGCAGCACCACAATATTNTATTTCCGACTTTTCCGATCGACCGAGAGCACAGATATATGAAGATGGTAGATCGTAGTCACAATACGGAACAATCTTTTGACCGCACCTACGTGTGCAACATATACCAATTTGTGTTTCTTCCATTATTCTCTGCGTCATCTCATCTGTTTATTTGGAGACTGTCGGCCAGTCCACAGTCAGTCAGTAGATTAGTATGATTAATCGAAGTCTATGCTTCCGACAGCTGCACACTTTACAACATATGTATGATGGAGCGCGCCCTGTCCCCCTTCACCTTCTATATATCAAGGGTAAACAAAGGAACTCTAAAGCTTTAGGTAGAGGGACTTGGTAGCAGTCTGTCTATATACAGAGTCGGCAATCTATAATAAATTTGCATAAAAGGGACTCTACGTATTCGTATAATAGAATGAGAAGTTTTAAGGGGAACTAGTGAATAGTTAGCAAGAGCTTAAGAGCCGACTTATAACGTAGCAACATAGACTCACACAAAGGATCTACAAATACATCATCAGCTTGTTATCTTATGCTAGACAGAAATTGACTTACCATTCCTGAGGCTCCGCGCCATTCACAGTTGTGACCCGTGACGTTACAATTTGCACGGGCGCAAGGAAACGCGTTTGGAGCTGTATTTTTACCTGTAGCTCCAGCCAGCTGACCCTGTACAATTTTCAGCATCTTAGTTCTATAATGGCGCCATGCTAGCTCCGTACGCAAAAATATCGGACTGACCGGCTAAGTATTGGGAATCCAGCTACGGAGGTGCCTTTCCAAAGTTCTGACTGACATGTATCCCGGAAATACAGGGGAATAGAGTAAGCTGAGTTAGTTATATCTAGAGTGTACTGTTGTCGCACGTGGAGGTGCGGTTAAAAAGTGTTATGTGTATTGTCTCTGCTATCCACTACCTTCATGTATCTGCGGTGCATAGCCATTGCTTTCCAATACTAAGATGTTATATCATTGTTGCGGTTGTAATGGCTTGTTACTTTGGCCCAGCTAAAGTTAGTGATTCTGCAGCCTTGGGTCCGAAAGAGAAAGAGTCTCGTTACACCGTACGTCTGCTACACGGAGTCGGGCTGGCTATACTTCTCTAGTCTCAGGCCGGGTGAGGGTGACGTAGTTACAAGCGGTAACTAGTTAAGTAAGAAGCATGTATGAATCATTGGAAAGTTTATCATCATGCAGTCCACTGTCTATCCCTCAGCCTCCCTCCCATTGTAGCGGGAAACGCGGTGAGCCGGAACTAGCCAGTAAGAGCGCAAGGTCAGCAGACATTCCTGCAAAATGCTGTATCTCGTTGGCTTGTTGTCCCGTCATACAGTTAGGGAAGTTAGTTCATTCATCAGTTCGTTTTTCCGGCACAAGAATCATATCTTGTTGCAAAATATGCAGCTGTTGGGAGCATAAACTTTGTCAACCACACTACATACTAATTCATTATATGTTAGCTGATAGTCTCTCTGTAAGCAGATGAGACGACGCAGATAATTATAAACAAATCCTCTTCATAATCCCCCATACGTACCAGCGACTGCGATACACCGTAGTAATCTAGAATTGGTACTATGAAATTCGTTGTACATCTTAGGATATTACTGTGCTGACAGCCACTTGTAGCGCTGCGTATGTTTGTTGCGACAGCTGGTTTATGGAAGATCCAAGTACAAACAGATATACATACTGTGTTAGTGAAGTAAATAACTACCTACTGCCTGGATTTGTCAAATTAGCTAATGTCTACAGTGCTTCTCAGGCAGTGACCCAAACTATTATAGCGGCTGTAGTCACAATAGATATGCTGGTTTCGGAATTGGGCGTCAGAATCTAGTCGTGACAAACAAACTGTGCAACAAAAGTCCAAAAGGGAGATTGGCCAACTGACTAGCCAAACAAGTAGTAAGAATGAAAGTAGAAGCTGTTCTTATCTAAACCTCGCTCCAACGCCACGCTCCAATTCTGCCAGACGACTTGTCCGAACGACGCTCGGATCAACGAACGAGAATCTTCCTTTAATCCGTACGGAGATATAAGCCCTCTATATAGCTAAAGGGTTACTGCTAGGGTAAACCGTGATTGTGTTTAGTGCTGATCTATCTAACATCCATTATGGAAGAATAGACGTTGGCGGTGGAGCGATATTGACAAGGAGAAAAACTCTAATTCAAAGCCAAAGAGGGGCCGATATGAGACTAGTGCCATGTCAGATAAGTAGCAGCGGAAGCCACAGGATCCAGGTAGTTAGGTGGGTGACTACTAGCGAATCCCGGCTGTCGTATGTTACATTTTTGCTTTTTACTTTTTCTTCATTTTTACGCAAGTCACGAGGAAGTATCTTGGCGGACGAGATGCTCACAGCGTATGGAGATACCAATGGCAGTGCCTCACTGTTGCTTGCCTAGCACGAATAGACGTCATTCTTCCTGCCCACCTATGACAGCGCCACTTGTCCCCAGCCACGTTTTGTGCAGCCTCTCCACTCCTATCCACCGACATCATCATCAACACCACTTCATTAATTTCTCCTCAAAAACCCTATGAACGTATACCTAAAAAGATACTAATATTCTTCCGTTTTCAGAAATGTCATCCCGCGGCCTCCCTGAAGTCTTGATGCAAAAGGTCGACGAATACGTTGACTCGCTGGCGCCCCAGATCCAACCCCGCATTGCGTCTGAACTAGAAGATTTCCAACAAAAAACAATTGATAGCCTCGAAACACAAGTCGTGGATGCCTTCCGCTCCCTTTTCAATAAAGACTCGTCTTCCGGACATGGCAATCGTGGCTCATCGTCGGGCGGCCCGTGGAATCTTAGTGATGCAGCACCCGACGCGTATGGCGGACAGTCGCTGCCGTTCGCAGACGAAATAGCAAAGTTGACCCGCAGCTTTGGACAGATTTCTGATGAGGCAGGTGGGGATTTGCGTGAAATATTTGCACTTACCCAAGGAAATGGCAATCGAGGGGCGCCGGATCAAGCCCGATCTCAAGATGTGGATTTTTCATCTGGAGCAAGGGGGTTCTTGTCCTCGGCCCTGAACGCAGTGCAGGATAGTCTCGAAAACCGGAATGGGTCTAATGGTGGGGGAGGTGGTGGTCAAGGATTCGAAATCGGAGGTCTCCTCGGCATGCTGTCCAACACTATCAAAGATGCGTCGCAAAACCCAGAAGAAAAAGCTAGACTTATCAGTCCTGAGATCAAACAGGTGGTGGGTGAGAAGTTGCGATCGCAGCATGCGCCTATTGCTGAGCAGTTCACGCGCATTGCGCTGGACCATATCAAGCGCTGGCTGCGTGGGAACACCAGCTCGAGGGACCTGGGCGAAGGTGCAAAAGCCGAGATCGCAGAGCAAGTAGGCGACTTGGTCAAGGGCCTCGGGAACCTTTTCGGCAACAAGAAGAGCGGAAATGAAGGGTCTGCTAGAGGCTTCGACGAGTTGAGTCGCGATGGCGACAACGGCGGTAGTGGAGGCGGCTTTTCACGCGTCATCAGCGACAAACTGAGCACAGGACTAGCAAAAGTGCATCGAGAAGTACGCCTCGAGTTCCGCAAGATACTCGGACAAATCGAAAAACAGCTCTTCGAACTCTTGCCCGACCAGTTCCAGCGGCCGCTAGAGAAAATCCTCGGCGGCAACCCGTTCGACTCACAGCTCGACCGCGATGCAGAACCCAATGCAGACCGCGGCTTTGGCGACGACATCAAAGCCAAGCTCCTCCGGAAGATCCGCGATCTTGTCCGCAAAGTACAAGAGACACTGCGCGAGAGCATTCTCGGCGTCGTTAACGGTGGTCACCGCCGCTTCGAGCGCGAAAGCTGGGTCTTTGTGCAGTCCATGGTAGAGCAAAAAGTCCAGCGGTACCTCCCCGACGTCAAAATCAACGTGCCAGACGACATTGGTAACGAGAATGTCAGCGTGGGGAGTCCTGTGCAGCAGAATATAGGAGGGGGTGCTGCGGCATACGAACAAAGACCTCCTCATCCTCCTGCTTCACAGCACCAAGACTATAGACCAGACCAGCAGTATGCTACTCCGCCTCAATCGTATCATCAGCAATCGCCACCTCCACCGCAGTACCAGGCTGGAA